ATCCTAAGGTCAATCTCACTAAACACACAAATATTCATTAATTGATCCCTAAGGTTATCTATTCACATATCAACATACATGCATATCAAATCATATTAAAATACCTACTTTAAACCTTCATAGATACCATCCTTAAGCATGTATGAATCAATTACCGTTTATTTCGTATAGCCTGTACATGAACAACCTTTACCACATAACATCATACAACCTTAAAGAAACTTTTGATCCACGAGACAACACCTCAAAACATAAAAATAAAATCGATTTCCTAATAACTTACAAACATCATGATAACATATATATCCCTTTAACAACTATCAAAGAAAATGATACATAGAAGATTATACAAGCTATCACCAAATGATCTCAAACCTATCACCAAAAGAAAACTTAATAGGATAAGCTATCACTCTTATGAAGACTTGAAATTCTAGAATGATCATATACTTAGCTAAAATTTCAAAAATTGTAATAGATATAATCAACGCTAGCAGCTAGACCTTTGCTCACTAAAATATTCATAACGAAAGTTCTAGATCTCCATTGCACCTGATTTTAGTGCCCTTGAAAGGTTAACATCCAAGACTACAACTTTTATGAAGATCATAAAATCCAACTCTGTCAATATAATACTTGTACTGGCACAACAAAACTGCATCTAAGACATTCCCTGCATTGATCAGCAAAAGAGCGCACCAAAATCTAAAGCCCCAAAAATACCTTAAAACACTTCCAAATCATTATTTAAATTTCTTCCTACAATCCTAAACCAAACAACTTACATATTTAGCACAGAAAACTTAGAAACTAAAATAAAATCCTCATACAACCTAACCCATTAAAATCAATATGTAAGCATCAAATTTAATAAATCATATAAGATTTAAAAAATAATAAAGGAATTATAAATTAATTCTAGTAAAGGTGGCAGTACCTCCTAATTAGGAATAATTTATAACTTCCAAATCATGTAATAATAAAATATATATAAAAAAAATAGAGATGCACACTTTAGCCTTTCATCAAAACATTCAAAATTCCAATTCTTGACATACAACCTCCTTAGATTCAATCGCTAAAAACTATAGACTTTGTCTACCAAACAAGCACGGTAAACTCATAACTCACGGCTAATTGGATCGACCTGCTCTGATACCACTTAAATATAACGCCTTAATGTAACGCCCAATTTATATAATAATAATTATATATTTTCTTATATAATATTTTCACAATTATATCGTTAACAATATTTTTTTTTTAATAAAGATAAAGATAAAGAACAATCATATTTTGTGAATTTAATACATGATATATCGTTCTAAAATATTTACAATAATGTATTATTTTACACAATATATTTTTCTTTCACTTTTATTACAATATTTACATTGATAGTGAAAATAAATTTACAAAAATTGTAATAGATTCATCAAATAGCCTCCACATTCCAATTCCTTCCAAGGAATACCACAGCTATATCAACTGCAAAATGATCTGGAATCCAAAGTAGATCCATCTATTTTGTAATATATTTAATTTATAAAAACAAAGAAAAGAAAGGAGTAAGAACAATATCCAATAAATATAATAACTCAAAAGAATATACAGAATTATTTATAATCAATATTAAACATATATATATATATATAAATATATATACATATCATATATTAAATTTTCATGATACAATAAAATTTGAATTATACTTGTAGTGACTAGTCAGGATAAATGAGCATCATCATAATACCAACCAACAAAAGGATATTTCACCTTCATTCCTTACTCATTTAAATCCCCAAGGTCAAACCTCCAGCTACAAATAATTCAAACTTTATCTTCTATGGCCATAGAACAATATTTATCTTCATAAATATGTGAAGAAATAACAAGACGAGTCCAAAACATCACAACTATATCATAGTTGATTATAAATATAAATATATTTACATAAAAAGAATATATTAAGAGTACCAATGATATAGATAAAAATGACAATCATTATAAAATAATTAAACAATATATATAAAATATGAACACCTTAATAATAGTTATGGATGAAAAATAATCATAGGTTAAGCAAATAAATGAGGTTAGGGACACCCCACTAAATAAATATTCATAAAAAATAACATATATAAATAAATATAATAGTATATAAAATTTTAAAAAGATAAGGTTCTCCTCCCCCTTACCTGGATAAGCAGGAACTAAAACTTGAGCAGAACTTCCCCCTCTGGATTCTCTCTTTCTTTCCCTCTCTTTCTTTCTCTTTCTCTCTCTTTCTCTCTCTAAGATTTTCACCTTCTCACTCAGTTATAATTTTTTTCACCCCCTGACTCCTATTTATAGGCATCCTGACGTACCCGGAACGACCTGTACTGAATTGGGAACGGCCCTTTCCAGGGCCTTCGAATATACGTAAAATTTTCAACTGTAACGGCCCGTTCCAAATCAGAACGGCCCATTTTCAAAAGCAGAACGACCCGTTCTAAAATCAGAACGGCCCGTTCTGGAGTTCATGTTTGCACTTATTGACCATATTTGGAACGACCCGTTTCCAACTAAGGTTTTTAGGCAATTTTAGAATTCTGGAACGATCCGTTCTGGAAAAACCCAAATGGACCTTTTTATTACTTTGGAATGACCCGTTCCACTTTTGGAACGGCCCGTTCTGATGCTTTAAAAGTAACTTATTTTTTTCGTTTGAAACGGCCGTTCCACTTTTGGAACAGCCCGTTCCGGCGTAAAAAAAAAACGGAATTTTACAAAAATTTTCACAAATAATTTAAATTATTAAAAAATCTTTAGTATTTTATAAAAACCCCATTTTAATTAAATAACTATAAAAATAATCTTCATAAATATAAAAAAATAGATAATAATGGATATTGTAATAGTAGAAAATCCGGGGTGTTACAATCTTTATTATCAAAGATTTGTTGAAGATAATATTATTATTAACATATACATTAGATATAATAGGATTAAAAAAATATAAACTCGTAGTTATATATATTAATTTATAAATTCTATATAATCATTTTTTAATATTATAAAATAATATATAAAAATAATTTTAAAAATCAAATGAAATATATTTTATAACAAAATAAATAAAGATAAATTATTTTTTTAATATATTTATTATCTTATAAAATATATGTTAATCAAATTTTCGTGCACGGTACACTGTACATATACTAGTTTTATTATTACTAGTAGGATCGAGGCACTTCGTACCTCTATTAAAGATAAAATAAGAATAAAAATTAAATAATAAAAGTATATTAGTCTAACTAATATTATAATTAGTTCATTAGTTTCAAGTTATTGAATTTGATTAAAAATGTTTTTTTTATAAATTTTTTAAAACAGAAGGATATAATAGTCAATAAAATGTGGAGACGAATGTGGTTATTAAAAAGAGTATCTCATTTATATATTAGTGTAGATTATTATTATTATTATTATTATTATTATTATTATTATAAATTACACTAATAATTAATAAATACCGTAATCTTATCATTTATTACGAGGATCAAATAATTATAATTATTAATTAACAAATCAAATCTTAATATTATACTTAATTTTAAATTTTATTTTATACATTTATTAATTTTATAACAATTCTTTATTGTGAATTTCCTAGTCAATAATTTCTAGAACAAAAATATTGCACTTTAAAACATGAAGTACAATAATTATCGAGATCGAATAATGACGACTATTAATTATTAAAAAAAAATCAAATATTAATATTATATTTAAATTTAAATTTCTTTATATATAATTAGATTTTATCTCAATTATTGACTTAAATTTTCTAATCAATAATATTTAAAATAAAAAAGATTGCACTTTAAAAGATGAAATATAATAATAATTGTGAAGTAGAATATTAACAAGTGATATTGCAATAATTTTAATATATTTGGATTTGAATTATCAAAGGGAGAGTTACTTTAAAAAATAAAATTTAAATAACTATTAATTAAAAATTCAATGATTATATTATAATTAATTTTAAATTTTATTATATATTGTTTTAATATTATTATCAATAGTTGATTTTTGATGATTGTAAGTTTACTTTATATTTGCGAGAGCATCTCTCACTTTTGAAACCAACAAAATTTAAGATTCATATGTAACAAACTAAAAATTTAAATGTATATTAGTAGGGTTAAAATATCTCATATTTGTATATTTTATTTAATAAAAATATTTAAAAATTATTGATACTTGTTAGATTAATTGTTTGATGTTAAAATCTCAAGATTTTGAATTTGATATTATTTTTTATTATTTAAAAATAAAATTATCTTATATATATATATATATATATATATCAAATTAGGTTATTCTCTTTTATCTTTATATATGTTAGAGATTTAGTAATTAATTTTTTTACCAACACAAGTTATTGATCCACTAAACAATCGTGTAGTGCCAACAGAATTTCGATTGTGATAATTATAACACTGAAAAATTGTAGATAAATTTGACCCGAATTATTGACTTCAATTCAAAATCAAATTAAAGTTAGTAAATCAAATAAGTTATTTAATGATGAATACGATTACAAAATTATTTTTCCTTAAAATCCCAACTTTATGCACAAATAAAAGATATTGTTTTCCAATGTGTGCATCAACCGATGGTTGTATATTCATATATATCAATATAACATATGCATCATTGACATAAATCTCGCAACCTAGCAAACTTTGATTAAAACTTCTCACCTGGAAATGAATTCTTCAACACCATTTCTCCTTATGCTTACCATTTGCTTGATTGTGATTTTCCATTTTTCTTTGCCAGCAAATGCTAGAGTTCATCATAGTCATCGTAAATTGGTGGGTAATGATCCTGATCTAATTGGTCAAACTTGCAAGAATGCTGAAAAGAATGAAGCCAACTGCACAAAGATTCTGAGAGAAGATCCTAACGTCTTACAAGCAAAAAACCTTTTTGATTTTTCATAGGCAGTCTTGGAGTTGTCCTTAAACAAGGGAATTGCTGGGCAAAACTTCCCTAAGGAATTGACAAAAAAAAATAACGCTTCTGCCATTGCAAATTGTGCAACTATTCACTATGATGAGGTGGTTGGATCATTCAAGAGTGCCTTGGCTGAGTTGAAAGAAGATCCTGATACTGCTAACTATGATGCAAAAGTGGCTGGTGATGGAGCTGTAAGCTGTCAGCAAGCCTTGGATGATGCACATATTGTTAATCCTGATATTAATGCTCTTAATAACCAAATATCATTGCTTAACCATATTTCATTCCTCGCCACAAATCATCTTTGAATTTAAGGAAATTTATGGTCTTTAGCTTGAAAAATCATGTGTCCAGGATAAAAATAAATATATAGCAAGCTTTTGTTATGTGTTTAGGAATATTAATCATCATCTTTTCCTTGCATATGCACAATGTTTTATTTATTGAGACATGTCTCTGTATCTTTTCTTTTAACTCTAATATATGTCTTTTTTCAATATTTGATTGAGAACTTAATATGTGTGTAACATTCATAATAATATAAATACAATAACAAAAAAAAAACATGAGGCTTACATGACATTTATTTTATCCTAAAAGGAATAAAAAATATTCTTAACATACAATTTGAGTAATAAATAAATAACAATTTAAAATAAAACTGAAATTTCATAAAGCTAATACCATGTCTAAATGAAATAAAATTTTAACTTGCAGGTTGTAAAGTAGCATAGAGAATTGTTGTATGTGTACTCGTGAGATGCACAAGTATGTGTATAGTACAAAAGAGGTAATTTACGTCGGTTATTTTAAGCTTTTTACATCAGAAAAAAGTCTGACGTTAAAGCGGGAGACGTAAATTTACGTCAAATTTTACAACCGATGTAAATTTACGTCGGACATTGCCAAGATCCAACGTAAAAAAGTTGTAAACAAAAAAAAACATAACCAGTGCAAGTAGAACGGCCTGTTCTGCAAGCAGAACAGGCCGTTCCAGATGTAAAATCAAAATCCTTTGCGCGAAACAAACTTACAAACTTAAGAATCAGGCGAGTTACATACCTTACCTGTAGATGCTCCATATCCTGAATAATCATAGCTGAAAGCATAGCACAAAATTGAAAGAAACTAAATAAACATAAAACTAAATATATCAAAGTAAAAAAGCAAGAAATTTTGGTGTTGGCGTGTTACTTCTGACGAAACCGAAACCGAAGAAGGAAAGTGAAGAGTGGCAGAAAACAAATCCGACCTAAGCGGTTGAGCTTCTTCTTTCTCTCATACTGTTTCACATGTCTCTTGTTTTCAAATACTTACGCACGCGGGAAGATTTATAGACCTTTTTACATCGGACATAAAGGGGTCCGACGTAAAAAAGTTCACAAAAGTTACAAAAATGCCACCGCATCTTTTTTACGTCGATTTTTGGTATGTCCGACGACAAAGAGGTGACGTAAAAGACTGATTTTTAGTGATATTTGATTTAACATATAGTTTTTAAAATAATAAATATGTCAAAAATGAAATATTTTTATTAATTTCATCTTATAAAATATATTTTTATTTTTGTAATTATTGTTATTTTATAATAATAAAAAAAACAATTGTATAACATTCATAAATCAATGGACACAACCATGAGTTTAATCTATTATAACTAATATGTATGTTAATAATAATAATATTACTTTCTACAAGATTTTTGATAATGAAGGTTTTATTATGAGATCACAAAAAATTGGTTTATAT